TCATTGAGTCCAACCATTAACCTAACACTGCAAGTCCACCAGTAAACCATGTCCCTAAGCTCCAGATCTACATGTGTGTGGATTCTGCACTACTGAAAGTTGTTTCCCATTTTTACTTCTGACTGACAAAAGGATTTAAGATTTAGTTCTTCCTCAATAGTCAGCCGATCTTTATCACTAGTAGGAATGGCAAAAAAATGTCAGTACCATCTATGCAGTATACATTCACTAACTTAGGATATTTTAAAACGTTACTCAGAAGAACAGCCATTCACCATATTTCATGGAGAAATCTAAAATTTAACAAAAATAATTTAAAAAAATCCTAATTGGAAAAGTAGTTACCACAATTTTTACTGATTCGACCTACTTCTGTTTGTATAAACTTGAATGAAATATTTTAAAACACAATCCTCTTCCCGTCCTTCCACATTCCATATTTTTTGCAGCCTTATTTTTCCTAATCCAAATTGTTACTTCTAACTGTAATAATAGTATCAGATACTACAGCTCAATTATGGTCTCAAAATAAGTTGGCATGACTCCAGTTCTCTCTTGAACGCTTAATCTGACACTCACTACTCTACTCATTCCTTTTAACATCTACAAAACCTACCAACTCTGTTGTGACTACTCACAACAGCAATTCCTATGAGAAATTGTATTTGATATGTTATAAAATACTGAATACGGTACATTTACATTTAACCTCCCAGCATTATTTACAATTAGTATATACTAGCAATCTATGTAGTCTCTGAAAGAAACAGTAGAGGAGATAAAACATGGAAGGATGGATTTCAGAAAATAGCCCACAATGGGATAATTCAAGGGCCATGACAAAAAGAAGATCCACAAAGAAAAGTCCAATGAGATAGCCATTCTGGACTCCGGCTTGAGTCCCCTCTGACACACAAACACATGCTCAAAGTAACTTTCCCCTATTTCACTTCTCCTCCTCAAAATATCACCATTTTATTCAGTAGACCTGTGCCTTAGACTGTGCCCTTACAGTAAAATACTCCTCAGAAATAAAGACCAGCTGCTTCTCTGAAAAACTCTCACAACAAACTTTCATCTGAGAGATTCAGAGGACAAAGTCACCGTAATCACATTTTACCCTGCACTGCCAAAGTTATTACCTTACTAACCTTGTACGCGCATATTATAAAAATCATCCATTTATGTTTCAGTGAATTACTTTAAGTTAACACTGGGAACAAAACACCTGAAATGAATTTCAAGTGACAAGACCATCATCAATCATACTTTCTCAACATTAATGCCACTACATAGAGCCTTCTGCTTCACTGCTTGAAAACATAGGTGTTTTAGGAAGAAAATGTTTTGCAGGTGGTGCCATATATGCTGATACTTTTCCCAAATTTGCAGATTTTTGAACACATCATAAATTGACTAAAATGGCATATTTGATTAATATCTAATTTTAGAGGTAAATCATTGCAAATATTACCCCAAATAGTGAAAGGAATAAACAAAAAAAAAAAAATACAAAAAAATTTAGAAAACACCAGTGAGGTCCTCCTTTTGTGGGAAGTCCTCAAAACCCAACAATTTTATTTGTAGACAGTTTATGGGATTAAACAAAATCATACTTCAAAGTAAAGAAGTGTAGGCATTAAATTAAGAAAAAACACATGCTATCAAGCCAAGTTATTACTGAAGCTCACACTGAACGCTGCAACACTTTGAGCAGGTGGGAAACATGGTCCACCCCTAGGCCCACTGCAGTTAATCACACAGGGCAGGAGTTGAGGCAAACTGCTATCCAATGCAAACTCCTGTTCAAACAAGTGGCAACAGCTAATATTAAGTTATTTCCTCAATTTTATGAGGATTCTGCAGATAAAGGCAAGTGCTAGCCAAGGGTTTGTCAGCCTCCTCTGTCCTTTCTCCCTTTTGTCCCATTTCAGATTTCTCTGGGGCAATGCTCTTCTGTGCAATACCAAAAAAAACCCACAGCTCTGATATTGGTCTGCAGAACCATGACATTATGCCAGATCTTCTGATTTCAAGAAATGAAAAATTAAAACAACTATCCTCAAAACAGAAGATCCAACACAGCCAATAGTTTCACAACCTAAGTTCACTACATGGCTGCAACCAAAGTGCAGAAAAGCATTACTGCAGAAATGTGTGTGCATTAGTGTAAACACAATGAAAACCTCATGAATAAAACATAATGCAATTTGAATTAACAAAAATTTGGTTTAAGTTATAAAACAATTGCCAAGCTAATATTATAACTTACTTGAGCTACAGAAAATGTTTAGGCTTTCTACAGTTTAATAATCATCAATGGCACAAAGTAAATTACTTGCCATCAAATGGGTCAGAGAATACAGAAAGAAGGTCCTTGCAGTATCGATTTTGCACATAAAATTAACTTCTTCAGTTGCACTTGCAATTGCCAAGAAGGCTTGAGTAGTATCAATTCCCCCTAGTACTGAGCCTCAAGAAATACCCACATAGTCAAGATGTCAAACTTATTTTCAAGGATGAAACAAATCACGACAGCTTCATGGGCTTGATTCATAAGCAACTGAAGCACAACTCTGACTAAACTGAATTTGTGCCAGTGTCAACATGAAACTTTATTTAAAAAGTCAGTACTATGAATTACTTACTGTTGTCTCAAAGCTCAGTATCAACACATCAATTCATCCTCCTTATATTTCTAGAATCACCATGCAACATGCAGAATGGTGGTGACACGTGCCTGACATGTAGTGAGCAATGTATAAGGCTAAGTGACCACCCAAATTACTCTATGCTTTGGAGACCTAGGAAGAGTAACTTTAACATGAGCACACTCCCATAAAGTGTAACATCTTCCAGCGCCTCGGAAAAGACAGGGCAGGCTTTCACTGTGAAATCATTCCTGTGCAGGGATAACTTCTTCCAAAAACCTGTGCATGTGACTGCTTGGAGTAGCACCAACCAAACCAAGCAAAACATACCACAGTGAAAACAAACAGCAACACCACACTTGGAAAACTATACTGCGCTCATGTCGAATAATTGAATCGCTAATGAGAGCCTAAGAAAGATTCCTCAAAACTACATGCCTGAAAGACCATCTTTCCACTATTTGTATTCAAGGTATTTTGTCCCTTAGAGGCTTGCCAAAGCCAGAAAGTCAAACCACCCCACAGAAGATCCAAGTATTTAGCCTAATTTTTTGTCCCTGTGAATATACAAACCCCTTCTTTAGAAACAGCATTCAAGCCTAATTTGAATTATCACACCATTAAGATCTTTAATTCTCAAATTCTAATAAAACAAAAAGATTGCCCATTGGAAATCACTGAGAACAAAGTGTAAACAGCCAGAGGCTGTGAAAACACCAAAACATACTCCCAAAAGCACACATAAGTAATGCTTACCAAAGTAGTAAAGTTATCAAATACGTTTATTAAGAGACAGATCAAATAACAAATCAGTGATGTTGTTTAAGGCTTTATTACTTCTTAATTAAGTCTGGCCATGATGTACAATTTCTGTGCAGCCATGAAGGCTTCCATACTATCACAGTGCTTGAAATTCAGCACTTTTCTTGATTCATTTGTCCTTTGCAGCAGACACATACCAAATAGTATTTCAACAACTACTTTTCACAAATTATACTAGAAGCCTATCATAACTTGTAGTACAATGTGCCTCCTCACTCCAGATAAGGCTGAGGAATAAAGGTATTTTGCTAAAGATTTACCTCCTAATTTGTATGCTGTGAAACAGCAACCATTACCACCTTGAAATTTTAAAAAGATTGCTTACATACAGTCCTTTCTTTAGAAGTGTATTCTTATAGTTCCAGTGAAATGCCAGTAATTATAATACTTTTGCTCCAGTGAAAACTACACTAATAATTCTACTACAAACTGTCACAATCCAGTTACACCTCTGTTTGGCATAACAGAATGTTAGACTGACCTCTGTAGAACGTTTTCAGGCTTCTCAGCTATTCACGCAACATGCAAGTTCCAGAAGTCCACGAAACTTCTGACAAGTATTTTAAATAGATGCATATAACCTGCATACTAAGCCACATTTCTATAGAATGCATTCATTGTTTTAAAATCCCACGTGTTACCAGTTTTCTGCAGGCATCACCATTTTTCACTGCCCATTACATAAACCCAAAGACTCCAGTTATATTCAAAATTAACAAAGTAGAAAATTAGCATACTGGCATCATCTTAAAGAAACAAGTCTTCATTTCACACTGTTTATTCACTGAACACTTATGGTTGACTTCCATATTAATGTGACATAGCAATATAAGGCTTAAAAAACATTTTTTAAAAGCAATCTAAACTGCTTTTGTGTTACTCAACACCACCTTTTCTAGCGCTGAAATTCTGTGCATTATACCTGATCACCAACTCTTAAACCCTGTGAAGACTCTAATATTGTACAACTAGCAAATCCTAAATCGTTCACCAAATTACTAAGAAAGAACATTCACATACAGTATTTACCATCGGTGTCCTAACTAGATTTGATAAGATTCATACAGTGAAGACTACTTTTGCCTGACATGGTCTGACTTATCCTCATTTCAGTTATCATGAACAAAAGAAAAAAGAAAAAAACCCAGAAATCACTATTTTACTTGTTTCAACAAAAATCTGTTGCAAAATGGCTTGGAAGAAAAGACCGACACAAAGAGAAAAAACAGTCATGTGTATGGGGCTAACATTTTGAACACGAAGTCATGTTACTGTCTATGTGGGAAACAATTTTAAAATCTGCTATTAGAAACTTCTTTACAATGCACATCACATGCTACATTCCATATAAAATTAATGAACTCTCAGCTCATCATTAACTTTTTTTTAGTGCTGTCAGCACTTTGATAGGGTTTCTGTATTCTCCAGATGGAAACAGATAAATTTAAAAATCCAAAAGGCTACTGTCCAAGAGTGTCACTAGACAATGCAGCAAAAATTATAAACATCAGACTTGAGCAGACTTACCGCCAATGCTTTAGATAACTTTGTTCGGTAGTTATTCAAAACAATCGCATCAATCTCCTTTAGTGGCACATATGCAAAGCCATCTTTAACAAACACTCTTCTGGCTCTAAATAGATCCACAGCATCTGCAAGTTCAACCTGAGAAAGAAGCAAAACCCACACTGTGGAACAGCAAAGAATTGCAGTAATGATGTTTACAACCCTAAGATTCAAGATGGACAAGTTAAAGCTTTAAGTCATTCTCTTGCCTTTTAGCAAAGCTCTGTGAGGGCAAAAGATTTTTTCTGTTGGCCTTCTGTTTCAGACCTACTGAAATACTTGATTCATGTAGGCAATGTATAGAAGGTCTCGGACACAGATCTGGAACCCAACCAACTTCGCTCCAAAGAACCAGTGGGATACAGTAGTTATTTCTTTCCTCTCCCTTTGCTCTCTTGCAAAAAGTATTTCAGACTAATACAATCAGAACAAACCTAGTTTCAGCAACATATATTTGAGAATGTCTCCATCCTAAAGACCATTTTTGTGGTGAAAGACAAGGGATGGCAGAAAAGGATAGAAGACTCTAATGGTAGTTCAAAGCTCCCTTTATTCTCTCAGTCCTTCCCTCTACCCTTATACTGACATGAAGAAGAACCCTCATTAGTCTCAGTTAATTTAGATACTTCGATTAACAGTTAGCAATACTATTAAATAAACTTTTAAGGAGTTAACTCTTAGTTTAACCGAAGGAGAATTAATGCAGATCTGTGGAACTTAGAAATTTCTACTTACCTTATAGAACATTTGCTCTTTTACTTTAATCATACTGAGGCCAGGAGTTGATGCTAGGAGCTCATTTGCCAACTCATTTTTCAGGTCTTCAGTAATCTAAAATTAAGAGCTAGTTTTAAAACTGCTGAAATACTTCAAGGTTTTTTTTTTAACTAATATGAGTTAAAAGATGATTTAATCTGTAAACATATCCTCACTTGGTAAAAAGTACTACATATTCAGCAAGTTCTCACTAATTATTAATTAAGCACAAACCAGCAAAAGCATGGTCAAAAGTGTTAAATAACGTTCCTTCTGAAGCAGCAGTGCAGATTTTAAAATGTAATAATTTTAAACAACAAAATAAGTATAAACCACAATTTTTTAAAACCTAGCTTCTTTAAAATAAAACTTCTGAAAATCCTTGCTCGTATTTAGATACACTGCAAGCATTAAATTAAAGCATGACTCAATGACAGTTAGGACTTAAGCAACTTTCCCAGATTCTTAACAAAAACATAGGTCTCAACTCCTCTTTCAAACCAGACTTTTAAAAAAAAGTATGTATTCATGGATTTCTCTCTCTCTCCTGTTTTTCTAAGAAAAAAAGAACAATGCCAATCTTATTGTTTAAATGTTAATGCTTTTCCACTTCTTGAAACAGGTAAGTTAAGCAGTAATACTCTAATTGAACAAGTACTTAAGCCAAAATTTCTAGCTTGAAAAATAATGGACAGTGTTACACTTCCTAATATAAAAAATGTAAATACTGCAAACACAAATATATTTTGCTTTTTCACTACTCAATAACAACTAAATACAGCAGAAAAGTCATGCTTAAAAATAGCATATTATAATGATTTTACCAGTCATTAAATAATGTTTCATTTTTATCCAAGAGAAAACAATTAAAAACAAAATTTGAAATCAAATTGTTCTCTTTTAAATCATTATTAAGCTCAGGCCTTTAATACCTGAAAAAAAGTAACATAAGAATTATCATAGATAATACACTCTGATAAAACAGACCATACGTGCTGGTAAATCAGCAATGATACCTAGGAACATAACTAAAAGCAACAGCAGTCTTGAATATTTGCACAGTGTGTTCTTCATAAAGCATAATTGAAGTAGTCCTTGAGTCATAGTGATTAAGAGTTAAGGAACACAGAATACCTTCCCAAAACATAGACAGACACAGATGTCACCAAAAACGTCACACATCATGTACATAAACTGGACATGTGCTCCAAAACCAACAGCAAGGTGAACAAAAGCTGCAGTCAACATAGCTTTTAGAGACTAGTCAGGAACCAAGCCAAGATTATCACATGCAAAAGACACCCAGACACCAAACACAAGATAAAGACATTCAGTGTCCTTTTTCATGGAAATGTATGTGCATAAGCAGCTCAGTTTATTCTCTGAATGGGACAGAATATCTAATTTGTTGACTAATATGCAGTTAAATGGACACTTAAACAAAAGTTTTTTCCCTTCTCAGTTGAAAAGCTGAGAAAATTATGCAAAACACTTCTATCAGAAGTCACAGGAAGTACTTTGAAACTTGGAAGAGTAGCTCAGCAAATCCCCTCTATGAAAGTGATTTGATAGATGCATATGAAATGGACAAGGCAGTGATGCCTAGAAGGTTTATGGTTACCCTGTCCACACTTTGATGAAATCTGTAGTACACTCTCATGAAAATCAACTTTAAAAGTAAAAATAAAACTGCCAGCAAGACAGAAGGAAGTAACTTTTAAGACAAAGGAAAAACACAGTAGTATTGTATATCTGCATGTGAAAATCTAGCGCTCAGGGAAGAACAGCTTGCAAGGAAAGTATTTTTCTTTAACAAAGTAGTTGCATCAAAACAATTAAATGTGTTTGTGCAAATGACACAAGAAAACATTTTTGAGAAAATACTCTAGTAATCTTACTCTTGTTAGTCTTTGAACAATTCCCACTTTTCAAAGTTACCAAAACATTGCTATTCCTTCCTGATGACGTATTTCTTGCTTAAGTAGTGTAAGTCAACACATCAGCTTGCAAGCTTGCCTTTCACCTAGTATACACCAAAATTTTAATTCCAGAATAGTGACTACCATTTTCCAAATATAACAGTTTTAGGCTTTCTCAGTAAAAATTGTCTAAAAGAACCCAGTCTACCATGTAATTCCAAACCCTCAGTGAAACTCTTTGAATAAAAGCATACCTATAGTGGAAAAAAATGGAATTTTAACTTCTATGATATCTCACTAAAAAAACATAAAACCAAGTCAAGGATAGGTTGTGGTTGGTTGGTTTTTTTAAAAAAAGCCATTAAACAGTCCAGTGACTGTTTTACAGACAGACTTGAAATAGTGGAGAGAGAAAAGGAAGAGTCAAAGGCAAGGATTCCTTGCTTATTTGTTCATTGAAAAGCAATTAGTTCATTTTCATCAACAAGACAATTTTATTCAGTAGCACATTATATTTCAAGCATTTTTTATATTTCAATGTACACATAAAGTAACTACACTGACTCAAAGCGTCACAAGATTTTTAGAACCTTTTTTATTAGTAATTTAACCCTATCAAACTTGTACAGACACGTAATCACAGAGATTTTATATTTTCTTGGATTTCACTAGCAAAAAAATTAACTCTCTCAGAGCAAAAGTGACTCTGGTGAAATCTCCAGAAAAAACAGGTGTATGAGCCATGAATTAAAATTTGGATAAGACTGTGGAAAAGGCTACAGAAAATACTGTTTCATCAGAAATCATATTTTTAAACAAACAGAAGTATTATTGCAAAGCAATATCATATAAATAAATAATAATTCTAAATCTGTTAAATTATTTACTTCTTTCAGCCTCAAGTACCTTAAAGGTTAGGGCAAACCTTCAACAGCCATGCAAACACTTTGTTCCTTATCTTTTCGCCAAATTCACATTGACTTCATGCTTTCAGGTAACGGAGAGAGAGGAAGAAGAAAAAAGGGTATCCCTAGCCCCTAACTAAAGCTTGGATACGTCTCTAGAACACATTTTAAAATAAAATCTGCTTCCCTAAAGACTGGCACATTAAAAATAACCTTGCACTGACATTACGGATTTCATCATTTTAATATAAAATTGTGTAAAACTGACTGAAGAAGCAATGCAAGGAAAATGAGCTCTAAACTCAAACTCCAAGCTTTCAGTTAGGTCATGCCCATACCTCTGTATACAGAGCATCATAAAACATGTATTCTAATTTTTCTTGGCTTTTTAAAAGTTATTTTAATAAGAATACTACGGTTTGTACATTTAATAATTTCATCTCTAAAATGGCACCTGCAAGAACACATTCCGGTAATCATTAAAAAATTAGAGACAATTAATTATACAGCTTTTAGGATTCTAATCAAGATCAGAAAGATAAACAGATTGCTTAACTTCTGACAGCACTCGATGTTTACCAGATAAAATACTGTGACGTCAAAAGATTTTAGAAAAAAAATAAAATCAACAGAATTCTTCTGAGGGTGTCATCTGGTGCTTATCTGACCCTCCACACTGAAGCGATTCAACTTACCTTACAGAAGACAATTCACTAGTTTTGCCTCATTAGTTTGTTGCCAGTTTAATGAACTGAAACTGCTTATCACCAAGTCAGTCTTTGCTTTGCGTAAGCAAAGAACAACAACTCCAAGAAAAGGATCTTGCCTTTTCAGTGACACTGTGTCACTGTGAGTTGAAACAACTCAACACTTCATGATTGGTTTTTGAAACTAAAAAAAAAAAAAGGGAAAAATAGAGACATAAAAAGGAAAGGCAGGAGAGGAAAGAAGGATGGATTTGATACAAGTTGCATTCTTTCTAGTTTTCCTGCTTTCTATGAGCAGTTCATTCATTGATTTTTAATCACAGAATTCTTCTGGAAACACAATGGCACATAAATTTAGATTAAATTATTAATAATTTAATATGTAAGGCTTTGTTAAACACACACTAGCAGTGAGGCAGTCCAAAAGCTTCGAAATAAACTTCATATTCCTTCTCTGTTTTAATGAAGAGATAAAGATGCATGCACACACTGCACTATTATACATCCACAAACACTTGATTTTGCTGTTCCTTACTGGGAGACTTAGAAAGAAGTCGTCAGTGTCCAAGACCTTTCCCTTTCCAAGACTCAGTTTCCAATATTTACATGCACATCTCTCTGGTGACTTCAGAAAGTGAACTTCCAAAACTTGCTTTTAGTCACTGAGCATTGGGTACTCAAATGGCACAACACCCTTCTCAAAAAGAGATGGCATCAGTCTCTCAAGTCTGCCCTGTATTGTAATTTTAAGAATGAAACACACTAAACAATCATTTCCAAGACAATCTTCTCCATTGTCACACATCACAGTACTAAGTAAGGTAGAACTGGAATACAAAACTATTAACCTTGATACCATTAGATTAAATAACATTAAAGTGTACTCAGCCAATCAATGAATACTAGCTTGATTAGGAAAGGACATCATTCCCAGCTGTTCTACCAATTAAAAGAATCTTAAATAACAGATTCCAGAGACTTACAAGTCTGTTGTTCATAAGTCTGATGACGTTTTTCTTAAGAGATATAATTTCCAATTATGCCGGACACAAATAAATTAAGAGGAAAATTGCATTTTCCATGGTACTACAACTTAATTTTAGTTCAAGTTCAGGTTGCTGGTGCCCCTAATAATAAAAAGGGCTGCACTTGAAATTATTTTGTATTCTTATTCATCAACTGAAATGGTTTGGTTTTCAAGTCAGGAGTCAACACAGAAAGCACATTTTATGGATCCTCCTCAACTACGGTCACCATAATCACAGAGAAACTCTGTGAGACAGGTCAAATTTCCTACGGTCCTGACAAACATTCCCCTACATCCATAAAAAGGAAAGCTGACACAAACAATTACTACCTGTTACTCCGAAATATCACCACATAGATATCAGAGTCACAAGTTTCAGCAATACCAGTGGTGCGGTTGATACACCCGAGGGGAAGGATGCCACCAGAGGGACCTGGACAAGCTCAAAAAGTGGGCCTGTGTGAGCCCCATGATGTTCATCCAACAAGGCCAAGTACAAGGTCCTCCACCCAGGTCG